CAATTTTTACACTCTAGTATAAGATTTTGACAAATCAACAATTCCTTTAACATGTCGAAATCAATATAAATCGACCAAAACAGTGTAAAAAAAATAGAACCCCTAATAATAAAAAACACAAATCACTTTCAGATTGTGATACATGTCAATTTAAATACTTTTAAAAATTAATCTAATTCTAATATTGCGTTAAAATCAACAAAATATTAATCTTCAACCTTAATTAGCACTTAAAGTTTCAAGTTATTCTTTTCAGTTCAACCAATCCACCTTTCAATAAACTATTATTTTATATTTTTTTCATGTTCCGTGGCCAAAGATTCGGGCAAAATCCCCATGTTTACCTAGCTAATTTTATTAGTTTCTAACCGGGAACAAGAGGTCCCTCGCTCCAACACCATTGAAAACGTTCAAAACCATGTTTTCGAGGACCCAAAGGTATATGTTTTGAATGGGAATGAACTGCCCGTAACAAAATTTTATACTTATATATGTGCATGAATGTATTTTTATTATTGTTCGAACTATACCACACATATTCTATTACATAGTGTACTGAGTTTTTGAGGCCTTCCTAGTTCCTTGAGGACCCGGTTCACTTATCAGCCGCAATATCGGAACTGTTCACCGTCGGAAAGGCTTATCCGTACGTTACCCATAGCTTATACATTTTATAAACATTTATGTGTATCCCAACTCCCAAGAAGCTTAGATAGTTATATATACATACCGCTCGTGTTCTTATAAAAGAATGAACGATATAATTAGAAAAAGTTGTATGCATCTAGCTATAATTAACATTGACAAATTTGCCGCACTTTTATTTTGCAAAATAATGTGGAAACGGAATATATATGTTATATAGTGCGTAATTGTTTTATTGAGTGTAAAACTTTTTTTTTTTTTAACAAAGTGTAAAAAACTTATTTAAAAAAAAATATCGTTTTATAATAAGTGCATGCTTTTATGAAAGTTTATATAGTGCGTAATTGCTTATGTATAAATGCTGATTAATTTACAAAATACATGATAAAAAACATTCACTTTATTCATCTGAGTAGATAAGTTCTATATAATGTAGATGCATGTATATTTTGATAACGAAAATAATCGACTTTTAACATTTCTGTGACTCTGTCTTACCATTTTCCTTAATTATACGTCTAAACCTAACTACCTAAGTACTAACATTTGAATATATATATATATTATTATGTTGTAAAGATGCATGATTTGCTTCTTTATTTGAAATTATTTCGTTATAAATGAGTTAGACCACGCATCAATTATAAACGTATCTGAATAGAATCATCGATCGATATATAATTCAAGTAAAGAATGGACCCCACAATTACAACTGCCAATAAATAACGACCCTTTGCGAGGGTTAAAGCCACAACACAAGATTTTTCAAAGTCTTTAAAAAGATAATTTAAGAAATCAAATACTTATCATCTCTCCTAAAAATAACCTCATAGTGTCGACATGGCTTGCGAAAACAATCTTGTTGTGAAGCAAATCATCGACTTATACGACCAAATCTCAAAGCTTGAGAGCTTAAAACCTTCCAAAAATGTCGACACTTTGTTCGGACAACTCGTGTCCACGTGCTTACCCACGGATACAAACATCGATGTCACAAAGATGTGTGGAGAAGTCAAAGACATGAGATCCAATCTCATCAAGCTTTGTGGTGAAGCCGAAGGTTATTTAGAGCAACACTTCTCCACAATTTTGGGATCTTTACAAGAAGACCAAAACCCACTTGACCATTTACACATCTTTCCTTACTACAACAACTACCTCAAGCTAGGCAAGCTCGAGTTCGATCTCCTTACCCAACACACAAGCCATGTCCCCACCAAGATCGCCTTTGTGGGTTCCGGTCCGATGCCTCTCACATCCATCGTCTTGGCCAAGTTTCACCTCCCGAACACAACGTTCCACAACTTCGATATCGATTCACACGCAAACACGCTTGCGTCAAGCCTCGTCTCTCGCGATCCAGACCTCTCAAAACGTATGATCTTCCACACAACGGACGTGCTAAACGCTAAGGAAGGACTAGACCAATACGACGTCGTTTTCTTGGCTGCTCTCGTTGGAATGGACAAAGAGGCAAAGGTCAAAGCTATTGAGCACTTGGAGAAACACATGGCTCCTGGAGCGGTCCTAATGCTAAGGAGTGCTCATGCTCTTAGAGCTTTCTTGTATCCAATCGTTGATTCTTCTGATCTCAAAGGCTTTCAGCTCTTGACCATCTATCATCCAACCGATGACGTGGTTAACTCGGTTGTGATCGCACGCAAGCTCGGTGGTTCGAACATGACCGGGGTGAATGGAACTCGTGGCTGCATGTTTCAGCCGTGTAACTGCTCCAAGATTCACGCCATTATGAACAACCGTGGTAAGAAGAAGAATATGATCGAGGAGTTTAGTGCGATTGAGTAAACAAGTAATTACTTAACACATCTCTTTTCTCAAGAGTATGTGTTAATGTTTTTGTCTTATATTAATTGCTCTTTTCATTTCATGTCTAATTATGTGTGTTTGTGACGTGTGTGTGGCTACGATTCTAAATTTTGAGTTTTTTGATCTTCGTTGTGATTTGTGAACTTCGAAGATACATGAACCTTTTGTTTTTGTTTTTTATCATCAATAAAAATAAAAGAAAACATACTTTCTTTTTTTCATATATATATCTCGAGAATCCACATCCATATACTAATATTAACATGTTGTGTTTTATTTGTGATTTATATTAATAGAGTGACTTGAAAGGAAGACATTGTGACTGAAACCACACCAAACCGATAACACATGAATGCTGAAAAATCCAAACGGATCAGTTACTTAATTATATTCTTGTTATTAAGATTCAGATGTTGGCGAATATCTTAACTTTTTTTTTATATAGATATCCAACAGATTCAATAGGTTTACATCAAAAAAAAAATAATTTCTTTTTGACAAAGAAATTGGAGATGTTATATCTTCTAACTTTTTCATTTAAAATGTTAGAAGAATTTTATACACTATCTCTCTTAATTTCTCTTACTGTCGGACTAATTCCAATATTAAGCCTATGATCTAGATTCTAAACTATGAAACACATTAGGACCTAAAATATGAGAAAATTATGTTAACGCCCAAAATTATGAGAAAGTAAGATTTAAGGGGAGAAAATTAAAAATAATGACAAATTCTTACACGCGGATGAAACCGGCAACCTACAAAAGTCATAACGCGAATGCACTACACATGACGAAACTGAGACTGAAAACGACAACCGTTTCCGCAGGTTAACCGGTCATTTTAGATCTTTGTACGGTTTAAGATCTAAACAATTTTGATCCAACGGTTATAATCTAACCTTCTCTTTCTCTAACTTGTTTACAGACGTAAAAAAATTCCGAACTTGGAACAAATTTTCCTCAATTCTTTCCCTCTCATTCTCTTCTTGCTCTGTTCGGAAACCCTAATCTCAATCTCAAAGGCTGCGCGATCTCGAAGTGCCAATTTTCAGGTTTTGTTAGTGAAAGGTTTAACCTTTTTTACTGGGTTTTGTTTTTGTGAATCTGCGATGATGGTTTCTTTGTGCAATGTGTTTAATTCTGTTTTGAGGAATCACTGATCTTTGATACGGTTTATACTGGATATGTTTGTAGCTAGGGTTAATTTGTGGGAAGAAGATGGTGGATTTGTGATTTAATTTCAGGATCTTCTATATAGTGTAAGGGATTTTGGTTTGGAGAATTGAAAAATCCGATTTTGAGGAGATTTGATTCCCAGATATGGAAGGGAATTATGGATGCTACAGTGATAAGACGAGAGTGTTGGATATCAAACCATTGCGCACTCTAAAACCTGTTTTCCCCAGTGGAAATCAAGCTCCACCTTTTGTTTGTGCACCTCCTTTCGGACCTTTCCCTTCTGGATTCTCGCCGTTTTATCCGTTTAGCTCGTCTCAAGTGAATCAACAAGCACCAGATCTCAATCAATCCCAGCATCCACCTCAACATCAGCCTCAATATACACCTCAACACCAGCCTCAGAATCCGCCTCAAAATGCACCGAAACCTTCGGTTGTTACTCCTCTGAAGTCATTTGGATCTACTGATAATACGTCTAATGATGATGTGGAACCTGAGGGTTCAACTTTGAAAAGAAAGACCCCTAAAAAGCGTCGTCCTGAGAATGCGAATTTTGAGAGTGGGATTAGTGTGGCTGGAAAAGAGAATGGATATAGGGAGTTGGTGATGGATGTTCTTATGCGGTTTGATGCGCTAAGAAGAAGGTTTGCGCAACTGGAGGATGCAAAGGAAGCAAGTAGCGGGATTATCAAACGACCTGATCTGAAAGCAGGATCTAATTGTATGAGCAGCGGTGTTCGGACAAACACCAAGAAAAGACACGGTATTGTTCCTGGTGTTGAGATTGGGGATATATACTTCTTCAGGTTTGAGATGTGTTTAGTGGGGTTACATTCTCCATCAATGGCTGGCATTGACTATTTGGTTGTCAAGGGAGAAGCTGAAGAAGAACCTATCGCCACTAGCATTGTGTCATCTGGATTATATGATAATAATGACGGAGATAATCCCGATGTTTTGATTTATACTGGTCAGGGTGGTGGTAATGCTGAGAAGGATAAGCAATCATCTGACCAAAAGCTTGAAAGGGGTAATCTTGCGTTGGAAAAGAGCATGAAAAGGAATAGTGCGGTTAGGGTAATAAGGGGATTGAGAGAGAATTCTCATAGTGTGAAGATCTATGTTTATGATGGACTCTATGATATCAAAGAGTCATGGGTAGAAAAAGGAAAATCTGGACACAACACCTTCAAGTATAAACTAGTGAGAGTTCCTGGTCAGCCTCCTGCATTTGCTACATGGACTGCGATCAAGAAGTGGAAGGCGGGTTTGCCTTCAAGGCAAGGACTCATTCTTCCCGATATCACAGCCGGGGTTGAAAGCATAGCTGTTTCACTTGTGAATGAGGTTGATGCCGACAATGGGCCTGCTTATTTCACTTACTCCACAACGGTGAAATATTCAGAGTCGTTTAGGTTGACACAGCCTTCTATTGGATGCGATTGTGGTAACACATGCAAACCAGGGAACTTGAACTGTCACTGCATAAAGAAAAATGGAGGTGATTTCCCCTACATTGGTAATGGAGTTCTAGTTAGCCGCAAGCCTATGATATATGAATGCAGCCCATCTTGCCCTTGCTCAACTTGCAAAAGCAAGGTGACTCAAATTGGACTAAAAGTGAGGCTGGAAATTTTCAAGACAGCGAATAGAGGATGGGGCTTGCGCTCATGGGATCCTATTCGTGCTGGTTCGTTTATATGCATATATGCAGGTGAGGCTAAAGACAAATCAAAGGTGCAGCAAACTATGGCTAATGATGATTATACCTTTGATACAACCCGTGTCTCTACCCCTTTCAAGTGGAACTATGAGCCTGGCTTAGCAGAAGAAGATGCTTCTGTGGAGATGTCTGAAGAACCTGATCTCCCGTTGCCTCTTATAATCAGTGCTAAGAACGTTGGAAACGTTGCCCGATTCATGAATCACACCTGCTCTCCAAATGTTTTTTGGCAGCCAGTTACTTATGAAAGTAACAGTCAACTCGTCTTGCATGTTGCCTTCTTTGCCATTTCTCACATACCTCCCATGACTGAGTTAACATACGACTATGGAGTTTCTCGACCAAGCGGAACTCAAAATGGTAATCCTTTATATGGTAAAAAGAAGTGCTTTTGCGGATCACAGTATTGTCGTGGCTCATTTGGTTAATAATGGCTAGAAAAGCGACCTGAGTCGGATTATTGCGAAAGGTTTGTATCCCTATCCCATTTTCTTACTATCTACTGAATCTTTATTCATGAATTTGGTTAATAACATACGGAACCTCTGGATTCATTTATCTGGCAGCTTAAGTGTTGTGTCCTGATCAGTCAGTGTATTCTGGTAGCAACTAAAGTGTTATAAACCCCCCTTTGATCTTCTCTTCAACACCATAAGACGCAAAGCTGCCAAGGATATTTTGTTGCTTCTCTCATCAAAATCGTATCCATTCCTCAGATTGCGGAAAATGTGTAATTTTGTTAGTGTTTCACTTTTCTGGAAACTCTTAACCAATGTTTGATTAAAAAGATTATATAGGAAAGTGATAAAGGGTACTTTTCTTATATGTGATGCAACAACAACGCTACTACGATTTGGAACATTCCATTATGATACAAGATTGCATCTACATTTTTATTTATTTTTTTTTGAGAAAAAGATTGCATCTACATTTGCCTTATAGTTTTCACAAATTTAGAGAATAATAAAATAGACGTGAAACGTGACAGTTATTTTATTTTTGTCAACAATATTGGGCTATAGAAACAAACAATGCGTACAATCTTAAAATAGGTAGAATAAGACCCATCTTTTCAGTTACATGCATTGTGTGCAAGTTATAAATTTGAAAACTTGAGATGAATATGAATACACCATCAATATAATAAAAAAAGAACAAATAATCATGTTATTCTTAAACATGGAACCACTAGTTCAATAATTAATTATTTTAAGTACCAAGAACATGATTTTTTATGATACTATATTCCACAAGAATTTCCTCCAGGTCCACCAAATGTGAACAAAACTTTTTTTCCTTCTTTTAGTCCATAGCACTTGTCATTGTCTAATAGATACTCCAACTTAGATTTATCAAGTAACCTAAATTCAAAACTAGAATCTTTGAAGAGAATGGTTCCAACTCGCGCCGATTCCATATCGTTTACTGTTGGTAGATGACCATTACCCATTGGTGGACTTATACCAGAAGGAGAAGCCTGAACTGCTCCTCCAACTCCAATTATATCAACACCATCACCTATTATATCAAATAGTTCTTTTGGCCAATAACCAATATGTATATCTAGTTCTCCGTATTGTATATTTGTTCTCCACCAATGTCCTGATATTTTATCCTAGTAGATTATTAAAAATAAAAACCATGTTATTTGTTAGATTTGACATATTTAG